TTTGAGTAAGTAGAATTATTTTTGTTTTTTGTATAGCTATTATAATGTTCGGAATAGCGTTTTTTGAAAGTACGGCCTGTTTGACCAATATACAATTTTGGACAACTACCACAATTTAATTTATATACCCCCGATTTATTATTAGGATTAATTTTACCCTTATTGTTTTTAATATACTTCCCAAGCGTATTATTGGTTTTAAAAGATACGTTAATATTTTGGTTTTTTAAATATGATGATGATACCTTTTCACTAGGAGCTCCTATATATGTAAGACTCTTATATCTGCAATTTGGATCTTTAATTATGGGATAAACTTGTTGAATAGCCTGTTTAAAAAGTTTTTTCTCTAAAATGTTGTCTACTAACTTTGAATTAAAATTATTATTTACTGCGATTTGTTTAATGATATTTAATTCTTTTGTGAAGTTCTCTTTGGTAAGGGGAATATTAACTAATCTATCGATCATACTGTTGTATGCTGCCAGCTTTTGTTTGTATGGATGAGATGAACTATTATTTATTGTAATATCCGTATGTGATGGCTTATGAAATATCCCAAAACTATGGCCTTTATTATTTTTAATAATATTTAAGTCTAAAAAATTAATTGAATTATCCTTCTCTGTTTCCATAGTAAATTTAATATTAGGGTGTATAGTATTGATAAAAACTAATAAAGAATTTAACTGTCTACTAGTACCAGTAAAAGCAGTCAATATATCATCAACATATCTATGCCAATACAGACAATGTTTACTTAAATTATTGCTATGAATTTTATTTTCTATATTATCCATAAATATTTCTGCATGCAACGGGCTTAATGGGTTCCCCATAATAAGACCTTCATTTGCTGAGTAGATGTTATTTTGAAATTGAAAATAATTTTGTTTTAGGCAAATGTTTAACAAATTTAGGATTTCTTCTTTGATTATAATATTGACTTGATTACGATCTAATAAGTTTTCTACTAGCTTAACTGTTTCTTTAGGAGGTATACTAGGAAATAAGTTTGTTACATCGAACGATACTAATTTTGTGTTACTAGGTAATTTAATGTTTTTTAATTTTTCTGTTAATTCATAAGAATTTTTTATACTATACTTTGAATTGAATTTGCAGTTTTCTTGTATAAGTTTAATTAATGTGTGTGAAAGTTTAACTGATGGAGCCGTGACAAATGACACAACTGGTCTAATAGGATAGTTCTCTTTGTGTAATTTTATTAAAGAATAAAGTTGTGGTAGTTGAGGGTTCATTTGTATTAGTTTGAATTTTTCTCTAGAATCAAAAATTGCTGTTGAAATCTGAATATTACGTTTTAGTTCTTTTTGATATTTATCTGTTGGATCAAATTTGAGTATGCTATAATTATTGCTTGCTTGTAAAAATGAAAGAGTTTTGTCAATATAATCTATATTATTAAAACTCTTTCATTTTTACAAGCAAGCAATAATTATAGCATACTCAAATTTGATCCAACAGATAAATATCAAAAAGAACTAAAACGTAATATTCAGATTTCAACAGCAATTTTTGATTCTAGAGAAAAATTCAAACTAATACAAATGAACCCTCAACCACCACAACTTTATTCTTTAATAAAATTACACAAAGAGAACTATCCTATTAGACCAGTTGTGTCATTTGTCACGGCTCCATCAGTTAAACTTTCACACACATTAATTAAACTTATACAACAAAACTGCAAATTCAATTCAAAGTATAGTATAAAAAATTCTTATGAATTAACAGAAAAATTAAAAAACATTAAATTACCTAGTAACACAAAATTAGTATCGTTCGATGTAACAAACTTATTTCCTAGTATACCTCCTAAAGAAACAGTTAAGCTAGTAGAAAACTTATTAGATCGTAATCAAGTCAATATTATAATCAAAGAAGAAATCCTAAATTTGTTAAACATTTGCCTAAAACAAAATTATTTTCAATTTCAAAATAACATCTACTCAGCAAATGAAGGTCTTATTATGGGGAACCCATTAAGCCCGTTGCTTGCAGAAATATTTATGGATAATATAGAAAATAAAATTCATAGCAATAATTTAAGTAAACATTGTCTGTATTGGCATAGATATGTTGATGATATATTGACTGCTTTTACTGGTACTAGTAGACAGTTAAATTCTTTATTAGTTTTTATCAATACTATACACCCTAATATTAAATTTACTATGGAAACAGAGAAGGATAATTCAATTAATTTTTTAGACTTAAATATTATTAAAAATAATAAAGGCCATAGTTTTGGGATATTTCATAAGCCATCACATACGGATATTACAATAAATAATAGTTCATCTCATCCATACAAACAAAAGCTGGCAGCATACAACAGTATGATCCATAGATTAGTTAATATTCCCCTTACCAAAGAGAACTTCACAAAAGAATTAAATATCATTAAACAAATCGCAGTAAATAATAATTTTAATTCAAAGTTAGTAGACAACATTTTAGAGAAAAAACTTTTTAAACAGGCTATTCAACAAGTTTATCCCATAATTAAAGATCCAAATTGCAGATATAAGAGTCTTACATATATAGGAGCTCCTAGTGAAAAGGTATCATCATCATATTTAAAAAACCAAAATATTAACGTAGCTTTTAAAACCAATAATACGCTTGGGAAGTATATTAAAAACAATAAGGGTAAAATTAATCCTAATAATAAATCGGGGGTATATAAATTAAATTGTGGTAGTTGTCCAAAATTGTATATTGGTCAAACAGGCCGTACTTTCAAAAAACGCTATTCCGAACATTATAATAGCTATACAAAAAACAAAAATAATTCTACTTACTCAAATCATATTTTAGCTGAAAATCATTCTTTTACAGACAACTTTGAAATTTTACATGTAGAAAATAAGAGCCTTAAATTAAACCATTTAGAAACACTTGAAATAAATAGATTTAAAAATTCAGATAACTTACTAAATGATCAATTAGATATTAATAATTCACCCTTATTAAATCTCTTTCCCAGTTTTCTGTGAGATAATCCCGGTAATGGGCTATCTTATTGTTATTTGATGGATATTATAATTACCTAAGTACCCTTATTTACTTTAAATAGTTAGTTTATTTTGTAATGTTATTGATGTTTTCTTAAGTACTTTGTTTTGTTAAATTATTTCGTATATATATTGGATACCGAATTGTAAATAGTCACATTTGAAAAAGAAGTTGTACTTCGAAACATATGTCATGTTAGTGTTTTTTTAAAAATTTTTATTTTTAAAATAAAAGTGTGAAAATCTACCAAATTTGGTTTTACTCTTTCAAAATTAAATGGATTTTTATCAAGTAAAGGCCGAAACAATAAATAATTATTGTTTATGTTCTGAAATTACTAAAATGCAAATTTCGTCAAAACCATGAGAGTAATCGAGTCTTATCAAGAGTACCTTTTTTAAAGTAAATGAGTTGCGCAATCTAAATTTCATGCTCAAACGCCTTTTCTTCCATTGGCGTAGAATTTTTAAAGGTGCAATTATTTAAAAAATCAAGTTCTACGCCTATGTATAATTATCGGACAAAATTTTAATACCATTTTTTTTGCCACATAAAACTCTACCAATATATCAAATTTCAGCAAAATCGCATATGCCGTTTTAAATTTATATGGGAAAAACGATTTAAAAATTGTAACTTCAAGGCCCTCTGGAGCCCAAACGAAGCAACTTTGTACTAAGGTAATTTTACTTAAATCGACTTATTTTGGTCTAAGGAATATGTGGTATGTTTTTGTAAAGACCTTTATAACAAATTAGTAAGACCATTAGGCAATTTGAAAAAAAAAATAAACTTACTCTTGATCATAATAAATTTTCCAATTTCCACTAAAAACTGCTCAGGTTATGAAAATGAGTATTCGTAATACCCTTGGGGACTGTTAGTTTGAAGGTTTTAAACAATGAAAAAACACATCAAGATATTTTTTAATTTAGGTATTACTTAGAAAAATAAAATTATTACAAATTTAGAAAATTTCGGTATAAATAAATGTATGTATTAAAATTTTTGTACAAGGTACAAAGGTGACAGAGTGGGTGCTATGAACTAACATGGGGTAAAACACAATAAGCCAATAGGCTTCAGTGTTATTCGGAGATACATAGTCAGACGAGCCCAGGAGAAAAAAAAAATGTAATAAAATGTGTTGATAATAGGTCTAAAAATAGTAATATGGGTATAGGGATCTTATAAAACTTTTAAAGCAAATCAAATTTTCTTTATATTGGTACTATAAAATACAGGGCGTGCCATTTAAATTAATGCAGTAATTAAATAAAACATTTTACTGTAATAAAACTTCAAATTGCAAGCACCTTGTATATTTTTTGAATATTTTAATGATTCTGATAAAATGTTTTGTAAGCAACTGTGAAAAATTCGTTAATTAATTATTTTGTAATCAAGAGTAATTATTTATTAATTTCAACAACACTACATATTCAAAAAATGTCAAATAAAAACAGCAATTATCAAAGATATGTATAGGGAATCTTTATTAAACCAAGATTATTTTTAAGAGTTAAACTTGACATTAAAAGTATATACTGAAATATGAAACAAATTTTAATTGGTAACAAAGGAATTTTTAATATATTTTGTAGTTTACCCACAAGTCTGCGTCCCATTGAGCATGGCAAACCCTGTATATCTATCTTTTGTTTTTTATATTTATATTTATCCTCAGAAAAAGTGCCTTAATAATTAATAATGTATTTATTTTCAATTGTTATTAGTATTACTTTGTAATTTGTATTATTTATAAAATATTAATAAATTATTATTATTATTATTTAATATATTTAGTCATGAAATTCTCTTTCCAAATCCCCCACGTGCTTGAATTATATTTTGCTACGTGTCTCTGGATAATTTCCAAAAAATTCTTACTCGATAAATTTCCGGTAATAATAATTCAAGTACTCGTGAGATTACAAATTAAAAAAAAATCGACTAACCTTTATTTTTAACTGCTTCCTGACTTGGTAACCCCTGAATCCGGCCTGAATTTTCGTAGCTGCTTGCGCTTCCATGTTGCCGCCGTCAGTTTTCCTGCGTTTTTCACTTTCCATGCTCTCCGGAGGCGAACCACTGATGTCGCTGTCGTTCGTCGAATCGGCCCGTATCCGTAAGTCGGCTTTTCCCGGAACCTGCGCATTCCTGTTGCGGTCGGTCTCGGTGACGTCGGTCGCAGGAGCGGGCGACGTCATCAGGTTTTCGGCATCTGTTGCATAATTGTCCGTTTGACAAGTTGAAGGTGAACGTTAAGGCGGATAGTTTTTGGGATAATGGATGGGACGACATGTGATTCTGGTCGCAATGAATACATTTTTTTATCTCCGATTGGTTTCGGAACGATTTGGATGCATTTATTTTCGAATTTGCGAAAAAAAATCGGTCGGTAAAAAAAGATTAATGCGTGGGCGTTTTAGGATATTAGATGAAACATAAAAAGAATATATTTTAAACATTAATTCACCAATTGTTTAATTGAATTGTAACTACAGTGCGTCCATAAAGTAACGCATAAATTCATTATTGGCTAAATGAACAATAAAATTAGGAATTCCCAAAACAGGTCGATTTTTGATTTCAATTTACTATTGTTTCAAATCATAATCTAATATACAAGGTGAACCACTTTAGTGTAATGACGTCATCACCATTTTTTTCAAATGGAACCCCTTTTTTTTCAATTTCCAAATTGCCTTTGCTGAGCTGATTCCAAAAATGTATAATATGTTGCTTCAAATTGGTACAGGGTGGGCAAAAATGCAAAAAAAAATATGAAAATTGTTTATGGAAAGTAATACGTTACTGAATGTAATAAACAAATTAAATGGAATTATGTAGTTATGCAATTAATGTGATACACTTCCAAAAACTAACAAACGAACGAAAATTTACAATAAATGTTCAAATTGTTCTCCATTGACCGTTAGACAATGACTGAACCGGGCATTACTTTCGTCTCTAACATTCTGTAGCATGGCGGGTGTTATGCTCTGTATTTCTTGTCTGATTCGGTCTTGTAGTTGAGGGATATTTCCAGATCTGTTGAAGTAGACTTTAGATTTTAAATAACCCCATAAAAAGAAGTCTAATGGGTTCAGATCAGGTGATCTAGCAGGCCATTCCACTGGTCCCCTTCTTCCTATCCACCTTTGTGGAAAAGTTGTGTTTAAAAAATTGCGCACAGCTACTGCGTAATGTGGTGGTGCGCCATCCTGTTGAAACCAGATTCTGCGGTCTACATTAGTGGGTATTTGAATATCAGGAAAAAGCTGGATCAGATCAGGAATTAATGTATTTTGTAGGAAATCCAGATATAATGCTCCTGTTAAGTTTTCATCGAAAAAATATGGACCAATAATTGTATTTCTCACAATACCAGCCCATACGTTAGTTTTTTGTGGTCTTTGCGTATGGTACTCTTGCATCCAGTGTGGATTTTCATCAGACCAATAACGGGTGTTTTGCCGGTTAACATGACCGTTCAAATAAAACGTTGCCTCGTCCGAAAATAAAACGTTATCAATGAAATTGTTATTTTGGTTCATCATATACTCGCAGAATTCAGTTCTTCGGTCAAAGTCGTCTTCAGCCAATTCATGGATGAGACGTACTTTATAAGGATGGTATTTTACCTTTTTGAAAATGTTTGATACTGAAGACTTTCCAATACCAAAATTCCTAGATAATCCTCGCACTGTACAGTGTGGATTTTCTACAGCCGACAAAATTATGTCTTGTTGAATATTTTCATCAATTTTTGGTCTACCTTGCCTTGCTGCATCCCTCACATGTCCTAATTCTCTGTATTTTCGCTCTATTCTACTTACCGTAGATTGTGAAATAGGTTCACGATCTGGGTGCATTTCATGGAATAATCGGCATACCTCTTGTTGAGTCCGCATCTTATCGCCAATACCAATCATCATTAATATTTCAATCCTGTCACTTTCGGTTAAAGGCATTTTGTAAAAAAAGTTCACGAACGTACCTTCTCTACAGCGTTAACAATACGAAACTGTGCTTCAATGTTTTTGACAGTGTTGTCAAATAAAAAAAACTGGTATGTCAAATAAAAAAAACTGGTAAAAGATAATGCCAAACAAAAAGATTTTTATAGTCCAGGGGCTTGGATCACTAATAAAAGCTGTAAGATACAATTATTAAGAATAATGCTGTATGTTCTTGATAGTTTATCAAAGTAGTTGTAATAACAATACGTAATTTCATTTAATGTACCAATTTGAAGCAACATATTATACATTTTTGGAATCAGCTCAGCAAAGGCAATTTGGAAATTGAAAAAAAAGGGGGGGTTCCATTTGAAAAAAATGATGATGACGTCATTACACGAAAGTGGTTCACCCTGTATATTAGATTATGATTTGAAACAATAGTAAATTGAAATCAAAAATCGACCTGTTTTGGGAATTCCTAATTTTATTGTTCATTTAGCCAATAATGAATTTATGCGTTACTTTATGGACGCACTGTATATTAAAAGCGGAAAAGGAGTGTAGTAGGAATGGAGTTAATACATCACAATTCAGAGGAGTAAATATTTTAAAGAGTTTGGAACAGTCCCAGACAGCACACCATATCTACTGGAAATCCTAATATCCACTGAATATCTAGTCCATGGTGGATATCTATTTTATATCCATGAGATGTAATTTATAGACATGCAAATGTCAATAAATATTAGTAATTATACAGGGTGTTTCAGAATGTAATGTACATACGTTAACTGTAGGTGTGGAACACTTGGGTGCTTCGAAATCATCCATTATTAATTGGTCTATCACATCTCATTACCCAGATACAAATTTCGCCTGAATTTGTTTTTAGCCAAAACTCAACAACCACTCGGTATAAAAAATAAAAATTTGGCAAGTAGACTCATTTCACTATAACAAAATTAATGCCGTAAAAATAATAATTAGATTCCAGGTCCGGCTTAACAAAATTTGAGCATTTCTGCCTGCTTCAAAAACAACACTCTGTATGAGCAAATTTAACATATCTGATTAAACATCTTAAAAGAGCGGAAAAAATCAATTTGGGTAGGTGTCATTTAAAATTTGCGCATGTCGTTTTAGAGGCACTAATATTTTGATAAAAAATGATATATTTAAAAATTTGTTAACTTCAGAATTTAAACACGATTTTTTGATTATAAAACATGGAAAATATTACTTTTTTAAGTAAGTACTTTTCAAATATTTCAATTTTACACTGTTTTAGTCTTTGATTTAATATTAGAAATAAATTACAGGCCCGTATAGTTAGCTAAACCAATAATTTTTTAAATACCCTGTATAATGAAAAATAAGGAAAGTAAAGATTAAAAAGGAAATTTCGAATTAATGGCAAACATTAACAGACTTTGAGTTTGGTATTTTCTTTAAGGTACCAGGAAAATTTAATTATGTATAAACAAAATAATTATAAAAAAAATAATTATTAATTTTATTTCACAATTAAACTTTTTGAAACAATTAAAACCTAATTAATAAAATAACCTATTCTAACCTAATAATTGTTCAAAATAAAAACCATTCTGCTGAATACATATTGTTGCCCTTTCCACAATTTCTTGGATTGCCGCTCGAATTGTTTCAGGTTTATTTCGTATTTCTACGCACGCATTGTTTATTCTTTGAAGAAGTTCATCAGGTGTATTAATTTCGTCACTATAAACTAATGATTTTAAATGTCCCCAAAGGTAATAATCGACGGGATTAAAATCTGGTGATCTTGCCGGCCAGTGATTAGGTCCACCTCGACCTATCCACGTATTAGGAAAATTCTCATTTAGAAATTCTCTTACGATTCTTCTAAAATGTGGCGCAGCACCATCATGCTGGAAATACATGCTCCCAATATTTTCATTTTCCAGCAGTACTGGCAAATGATTTTGAATAAAATCTAAGTATGCTTCACCTGTTAGTCGATTAGGAAGCACATGCGACCCAATCAGATGGTTGTTTAGCAAACCACACCAAATATTCACAGAAAATTTATTTTGCGAGTGGCTCTGTCTTACAACGTGTGGATTTTCTTGTGCCCAAAAATGAGAATTCCTTAAGTTGTATACACCATCCCTAGTGAATTGTGATTCATCGGAAAATAAACATCGATTAAGAATTCTTCTATTTCGAATAATCCAGTTAGAAAACAGTATTCTATGTATTTCATCTCCCATCTCCAATCTCTGTACATGTTGAAAGTGGAATGGATATAACCTATTTCTTTTTAATGTTCGCCAAATAGTAACGTGTGGTAGATCTAATGCATTACTTATTCTGCGAGTACTAATTTTTGGATCATTTTCAACCATATTGATAATATTCTCTTCTACATCAATGTTTTCCATTCTATTGTGTTCATTGAATTTTGCTGTAGGAAAACGACCGTGATGTCTAAGAAAATTAAAAATGTTCGAAAAAGTTTGATGGTTAGGCAGTCGGCGTCCTGGAAACCTTCTCTCATATTCCCTTACAGCGGCTCGACTATTACCATTACAAAATCCGTATACAAACAAAATATCGGCATATTCTTCGTTGGAAAATTGATAAGGCATTTCTAGATTTGGTTATTTAACACCAATGTTTGCAACAAAGAAACTTTAATGAATAGTCTATTAAACTTATGTATTAGCTGTCAAAAACTTTCAACTGTTTTCTTACTTTCTAGATAAAGTTATTTATAAAACAGAGAATACATAATACATGTGAAAAAATAAAAAAATAATCCTAAGGTTGGCAATCCAAAGAATTTATTGAATGGCTTATTTGATAAAATAGTTGTCATTTGATCAAATATTAGGTTGATCAAGGTTGTTTTAATAGTTAGGTTTTTCTTGAGTTATTCCCTTTATTTAGGAAATAAAATTAAATATTTAAATACAATAAAAAGTTAACTGTATGAGTAATAATTACTAAGTTATGTTTAAAATTGAATCTTGCTGTTAAACTCATTTTTGTTAAGTAGAAATAATATTTTTAATCTTTAATTTCCTTATTTTTCATTATGCAGGGTATTTAAAAAATTATTGGTTTAGCTAACTATACGGGCCTGTAATTTATTTCTAATATTAAATCAAAGACTAAAACAGTGTAAAATTGAGATATTTGAAAAGTACTTACTTAAAAAAGTAATATTTTCCATGTTTTATAATCAAAAAATCGTGTTTAAATTCTGAAGTTAACA